CAATGTTAATAACTCCCCGAGCCACCTAGGGAGCATCATGACTATTCGCAGTCCGTCAGCCAAGTAACGTTGCAGAATTATTCCAACTTCAATTAGATACATTCTCTCGAGAAAAATATCTGGTCGAGATTGGGATCGAACTCACGAACTTCCAGTCGTGAATCGGGCGCACTACCACTGTGCCGTTTCACCGCTATACATATATATATATATATATATATATATATGTATAGCGGTGAAACGGCACAGTGGTAGTGCGCCCGATTCACGACTGGAAGTTCGTGAGTTCGATCCCAATCTCGACCAGATATTTTTCTCGAGAGAATGCATCTAATTGAAGTTGGAATAATTCTGCAACGGTACTTGGCTGACGGACTGCGAATAGTCATGATGCTCCCTAGGTGGCTCGGGGAGTTATTAACATTGCATACCCAGGACACAAGGCTAATGACCAATGTAGTCGATGTAGATGACAAAAAGAAAAAAAAATAACAGACTAAAACGCTGAAAGAAACATCCTCTCAGATATCTCGTTTCCTTCTTTTCATAAAAGAGGACGTATGCCTCTTCACTAACAGGCGACTTTGGTGAAGTTGGGGACTCGTATGAATCGTTGTGTTCGTACCACATGCCAGTGTAGGGGTGTCTGCAGTATGCTGTGTGAGTTCCGCTATAAGGAGTCACGTTGCCTGCTGCCTAATTGCTCATATCTGAACCATCTAGAGGAATATCTCCGTTGAAAAGAATATTTCAAAACAAAATTACTTCGGAAAATCTAATGGATTGATAAGGATTTGACAAACGAAATTATCCACAATCTTGAAGTTCCATATACACAATCTTATAAATTATCTTATCTAGATCTAACAAGATTGTCATCTGATGAAAGCACAAAAGTATAGAACTGGTTCATTTAACAAAGTTTCAGTCATTTTTTAGATTAGAAAAACGGTCGTCTGGAGGTAGTTCTTTTGTACATTTTATGTCAGTGGCACCTACGGCCTGATGACTTCGAGAATGGGTTCATTCAGGCTAATTTAGTTTTTTATTGAAAATTATATATTATAAAATTAAATCATCTCCCAAGTATCCCACATAATTTTCGGATCTATATGTCAATTAACAACTGAGCAAGAGCAATTGAAAATGTGAGATCGCCTGCGGTACATCTTGACGTCACACCAGGCAAACGAGCTTCGAGCGGTGGTAACCGGGCCTGTAGTTGGAGATTATGAATCGCTGCTATCGTCAATTCAATTTAATTTTCTTCAAAGTAATGTCTAGATCAATTCTGGGTAACTGGCATTTTTGAGACAAAAGTTCTATAATTAATAAAGAGTACCTTGGGATTCCAAGACATAATTTCGAATTTTTCTCTATGACGTGAATAGATCTTCGCTCAATATCGTTTTTCTAATTCCAGTTTTCAACTAATATTCCAGACAAAGTAAAATCTGATGATGTATCAACAGAAGTCATGTCTGATGTACTCAAACCCTCACTGTCCTCGGGGGAACTTGGTAGTAATTTTTTCCAATATTTTCTGTATTTTCTATTTCTTCAGAACGATTTCTTTTTCGGTGGTATATAATATTTACGGTCAGTTCAGCTTTAGATCTTCGAAAAACCTGTTTATTAACTTGAATTCCAACATCAAAGGTATTTTCCTGTGTACCTGCTTAATCAGACATGATTTGATTTTTAGCGATATCTTCGTTACAAGTATTCAACAAAATTTGTTTTTCTTTTTTTTGAACAAACGGTGGAGCTTTAGATGTATGGGCCGTCGGTCCATCAATCTGGCAATCAAATATATGCGGAATTAAGCCTGGTTCAAATATAATTTTTCCCACTTTCATAGATTTGATATACATGTAATTTTCTAAATCTGTTTCAACCTAAAGTTCAAAGTAGTGCTCAGAGTAAACTATTTTTTTTATCAATCAGTATCATTCATACTTACATTAAAATGATCTTCGCAACAAAAATGCGTCCCCTTGGCAGATACAAAGTCGGCCCTCCGCATAGCGCGCTGCCATAACTTTCGTAACAGTGAAATAAAAATTTTGTCTGGTGCAGTTACCGAAGAATTCTTGCATTTAGGAACGATGCAATACTTGTAACGTCCTTTTTTATCGTTATTCATATTCACACAGTTGACACACTGCAGTAAACAACACACAACTTGCTTTCTACGGCTTTAGCACACGTATTTCGCTCATCCGCCAGCACTCCCTTGTCGCAGAGTCGACTGATGTGACGTCAAGCTTAACCACACCCCGTTTCGGTGAACGCCACATTCAACAATTAATTTGAGGGGGAAGATAAAGAATGAAAATTCAGATTTTTTGCAGATGTACTATTTGAAACATAAACTTTCAAATTATGAAATAAAACAAATTTGTTAAATGAGCCCATTGTGGAACTAGCCAGGATCACCCTGGGCGACCCTGGGAAGCTGGCGCCGAAGAAATATCTGGCGATGACCAGGAAAAATCTACCAGTCAAGATTTCTGACTGGCCACTGTCAACTAAGGAAATACCACAATATGGGGCTAGTGGACATGCCTCTATGCAGGATGTGTGAACAGGAAGATGAGACTGTCAGGCATGTCCTATGCGAGTGCCTGGAGTTATCGTCATTAAGAGAGTGTGTGTTTGGCGAGTCTTGACCTACACCTATCGATATAAAGGCGATGTCTCCCAGAGACCTGTCCACCTTCCTGGAAAGGACAGGATGAACGATGACCTAGAAGGACAACTCCTTGGGAGGATGTACAATGGCCTGAATGCTGTGGGCCTACACTCACCCTCCCTACTCTACAGATACAGATACGTCAAGTTCCAGGTTCCAATTGTGCCTATCAAGAAAGACATCGTTATATTGAATAATTTTGCTTTAGGATGCGTCAAATTAGGGTTTAAAAATTGTATTCCAACACAATAATTTCAATGAATTCTTGTGAAGAAAGTTATAAGTACATACAATTCTCTTAATATGTATGTCCTATGAATATTATCACAATATTGCAGGTTTCGCCGATGGCACTCAAGTAGTTGGGAACAAACAAACTTTTGAAAATACAAAGTTGTTTTGTCAAAAACTAAAGTGTTCAGAATTATCAAAACATTCTGAAATTATTAATAAACAGAGTAGTATACACAACTCACGATCTTGAGTTCGAATTCGCCATCGACTAGATATGTTTTTCGCGAGAATTTGTCTAGTTGATGATGGATTAATTTTGCTTCTTTACATGGCTGACCAGACTACGAATAGGCATGATGCCCCATAGGTTGCTATTAACGTAGTTGCTAGGGGGTCTATTAACATAGACCACCAAGAACACTAGGCTCATAGTTGCCGATATCGAAGATCCCCAAAAAAATAGAAACAAGGACATAGGATATATCACAAAGAGGTTAAAGGACATTAACACACAATAAATACCTATTCATTATACTTGAATTATCGAAAGTATTCAATATCTGACTCGAATATTAATTGATAGGTGTTTGAATTGTTTCAAATTGTAAATTCATGAAATGAATTTTTAGGAAGGAATGTGCAAATTATTAATAACTTTCGCTGATGTAGTTTTGACAGTCACATTCTAAAACAATAGATTTTCTTTGCTTTGTTTTCATTTACCATTTCATTGTGTTTTTGCTGATATGCTGCAAATAATTAAAGGACATATATCAAACGAACATATATTTCGTGAAATTCTAAATATCATATCTATTTTTTTTTCAGATGAGATGGGACACACATCATCCTTCCCCGACCATCAAAGATTTCGACAACAAAGTTTCCGAAGCGGACGCATATCTTCAGATCATGATAGACCAAACTAAGGTGAGTCCATTTGCGAACATTTTCTCATTCTCTGTTGTTTAGTTCAATTCCAGATCCCACATATAGACTAGGATCGATAATTTTTGAAACAAAAAATAATAATAATAATAGGATGAAACCCATCAGAAAAGGAGAGGAATATGATGAAAATGAAAAGAAAATAAAGTGGGAGGGGGTGAGTTTTTAAGGGTAAAAAAAGTCCTATGGGAAAAAATTAAATGACAAAGTTGTAGGTAATAGAAAGATCTACAACTTTTGTATTTTCACATAACCTCAGAATTCATATGAAAAACTAAAATAACCAAGTTTTTGGTTTTTTATTTTTATCTTTGGTGAAAACTTACCTTTTCATATCCCAAATATACTGTAATTTATTTGGCAAATTTTTTTTCAATATATCCAAGTGACACTTTATTGTGATCGAAAATCGTATCTGAAGACTGTATCGAGGAGAAAGATAAAAGTTCGAAACATTCATGCCTGCCAGTTACTTACACCGTTGGTTCTGGTAAGTGCCCGCCGAAAAATAACTATTTCTCTTGCTAATACCACGCTGGATATTGAATTATATCCGACAGCCAATTATGATACCTCACAGTTAGTCTCGCATATGTTTCCCGTTCATCCAGCAGCAGGATCATTCTGAAATTATTCAAGAAGATCACTTACGGACCATGGTTTCAAGGTATTACCTTCAGGAAAGATACTACCCAGACAGGGTAGTGGGACTCGAATAATTCCTATGCGGCTCGATTGCATGAATGAAACCTTCGTCTAAGAGGAAGACTGTTAACTAGTAACAGCTTTATCTCGTGTACAAAGCCACAAGCGTTGAAATTATTCGAGGCCCAGACACTTGGGTCGGATATTTGCTGCACTGATAAGAGGTAATACCTCGAAACCGGTATGTAGGTGATCTACTCGAATAATTTCAGCATGGTCCTGCTGCTGGATGAACGAGAAATATCTGCGAGACTAACTTCTGTGAGGTATTTTGCATAAATACCCAGCGTGAAATTAGCCGGGGAAGTAGTTGTTTTTCGGCAGACATTAACCGGAACCTACGGTGTGGGTAGTTTGGAGAGATGAATGTTTCAAGATTTTATTTTGAAATGTTCATTTTCTTATACTTCATTGTGAGATTTTCGCTGAACAGTTCACAAAACCGCAACACGTGTTTCGCTGTATAACAGCTCCCTCATTCGTGTTCATGTTATAGATTTTCATCAAGTATCGGCCAATTATATCTCATATTTCCATAATGTAAGTAATCAACTTTCTGACTTAAATACTCTAGGTATTAGTTTCTATAAAAATTTTGAATCTTTTCCCTAGAATAGAAAAATGAACAATGACACTATCTGATTCTTCAGAGAACTCATTTGAAGTAGTGGATTTTCATCTCTTATTTCTCGCTTCAGCGGGTGCGCCTATGAGTTACATTTAGTTGTGGAAATGAATAATTCAATACAAATCCGCTAACTGCATCAAAGCGTGCTGAAGAGTTGACCTGAAAACATTCTAAAGTAAAATGGTAATGAACGACTCGTTTAAGTTTATGTTTATAGCTATCGAGAGAAAACTCTTAGAAATATTCATGGCCTAGTGAAAGAGAACATGTTACAGGAGGCATAGAGAGAAGAAGATAAAATGATTATACAGGGTGTATCTTAAATGATTTCATTGATTTCAGGTGATGATTACTTGTCATATTTTATGAAAAAAAATTCACGTGTTCTTAATTTACTTCGTTTCCGAGTAACGAGGTGTCAAAATTTTAGTAAAAATATTGTTCTTTATTAATAACTCAAAAGTTTTTTCGCCTGTTTCATTGAAACATGGTGTGTTTGTTGGCAGAAATAAGGGTCTTCTTTTCATGGAATTGGATTACGGATAATAATTCCAATGACGTCACAGATGGTTAGCTGAATTATATTTATGGTAAAAAGTCATTGTACGCCACTGTTTTTGTTCAAGTTTGATTTTTTCCATCAGATTGAACAATTACTTCAAAAACACGTATTTGAAAACGAGCTTTTATACAAATGCACTAAAAGTCCAAAGGTGTCAAATCTGGCGAGCGGCTAGCCATTCTGTAACCAAATAGTTTTTTACTCGTCTGGAATAATGTGGTGGTGCTCCATCTTATTGGAATACAATATCCATATCGAATTCATTGGGATTAGCTTCGACGATTTCAGTGATGCGAGGGTCAACAGTAGTTTCTAGCATATTCAAATACAGTCCCCCTGTTAAATTTTAAACAATAAATAGAGGTTCTACAATATGGTTTCCCAATATTCTTGCCCAAACGTTAATTTGTTCTGGATATTGGGTATGTGTTTGTTTCCAGGAAAACGTGAGGGTTGGTGTCACCCCGATAACGGCAATTTTGTCTGTGAACATTGTCGTTTAAAAAATTGTTCATTCGTCACTAAAACAAATAATGTAGAGATAGGTAGGATGCCTTGCAGGGTCATGATTTATTACCATCTCACCTATTATTTGCACTTGCTGTTCTTCCGGAATGGACGGATGACCTGGGGGCTTTTTGTTATGTACACTACCGGTAGTTGTGAATTTGGATACAAGTTCCCTCAAATATTTTCTACAGATAGGACGATTCGGTAAACGTTCATTGAAAATCCTTTCAGTCTCGTGAAAATTACGCGTCGCACCGTAAATAAAAATCGCTTCAATTTTTTCTTCCAATGGACGAGAATTGACCATTTTAGAGATTGTTCACGTGGTACCTTTCTACTAGTAAAACCAAAAATGAAATGAGAATATTCTAACTGAACAATGATGTTCATTCTCGTATTGACATTTTTTGTTGTTTTTATAATCAAGAAATAAATTAACAAACATTATCGGGTTGTTGGAATTGCCATATGGCAGATATGAATATTTCTAGAAATATTCATTTCAGGAAATTATTAAATGTTCCGCCATTTTGTAGTAGGTGAAGATATTGACTTCATATTTTAGGGTTGTGAAGTATTCGTCAGGATACAAATGCCTCAAAAACCAAAGAAGGCTCAGGATCACTGAGCCTAAGGATTAAGTGGAGAATGGGAAAAAATACCAGCGTGGTCCAAACAGAATCCCCACCGATGAAAAGGTATATATTATATAACATTTTTTTCTTCTCATCATCTAAGCTTTGCAACCTAATATGTAAATCCCCATTTTGCATGGTAGGCTCCCCTGCTATTAACACATTGTGAATTGCTTGTCTGTCTATGACCAGCAAAGAATTGTGGGTTCATGTCATTATTGACTCCTATGAGACTAAAAAGATCGTAAGTAATCCGCTAAGCCATTATCTTGTTCTCGAGAAAATATAGTTTCATACATTTTGCATTTATGTTTACAAAAAAATGTCGTACTCATAACAGTAGTATATAGAAATGCATTGATAATGCTTACGTAGAAGGCCATAGCACTAGAATATTTTGTAATATTATGATTAATAGTGATGATATATGTTCATAACTACTTAATAATCATAGTAAAGTAATGTGTGTCTAGGAGGAAATAGTTATAGTTGTATTTGTCTAGGGCCAGTGACAGATTTTTGCGATCAATTCATTCCCAGCCGATAATTTTAGGAATACAGTAAAAAATAAATCAGTAAAGATTTTCTTCTTCTTCAAGCAATGACTTCGAGCTACGCTCGAGAATGTTGAGATGACTTTTTTTTTACAACTTTGCTGCCCTCCTCGTTCTTTACGTCACTCTGAAATTGTCAGATTACTGGAATATACACTTTTTAGCATGTAATTAACTCACCCTGCCTTAATCTGACGCGCTTGAGAATTTCTGATGATATTTTTTTTTACTAATCTGATCTTTTATCCTTCACGGGTGGCCTTATATATAGGGTGTGTAGGTACTTAACCGGGTACAAGGTATCCCCCTGTATATTAATCTGCCGCGCTTCAGTAAATCCCGAAATCCCCGCTTGGGCTCCCCTGTTATAATTTGTTAAACAAAACTTCACAAGTATTTGGTGCTCATACACAGACAAGCAACAAGCAAGCTTAGACACACTGAGGCATTACCACGAAACTGAAATGATTTTCAGGCAATTATTGGTCAAATCAAAAATAACACATTTTCATAGTAGGGATGAGATCCCATTATCTAAAAGAAAGTACGCGAAAGTTTAAATGAAACTTTTTTTGTCGACTTCTTTTGGATTTATTCACCTTCCACAATCTGAAAAATAATTAAAATTGTAAATTGATGGATGTAGCCGTTACTACGTGGTAGGAGATCATAATGAAAAGAGAAATGAAAATTTCTATGTTTTTTACCANCCCATTCGGTATTTTGTAGGCAAGCCATGATTACTATTTGACAGTAATTTTGTGACCTTCTCCTAATAATATTGACATTTTCGTCACTACATAATCTCTGTTACTTCACTACAAGGTGTTTTTTCGTTTGCTTGAAATAGTGACTAAAAATTGTCTATTTCAAACGGAACACCTTGTGTATCATTACAAATTCAGAAAACTGTTAAAATTTGCTTTCTTTCTATGCATATCATGCGTAAACCTAACCAGTCAAGTTTCGGACTTATGAGCATTTATTTGTGAAAATGTCCCTTCAGAATAATATTCCCATTCGGTATTTTGTAATGTAACATCTACGGTTTTTATATACCTAATTTTCAGCTGCTGTCACCAGATGCGGATTTCTCCACATCAAATTTTGGATGTTGGGCAATTCCGAAAAGACTGTTCGAAAAGTTTGTTCAGATCGCACGACGGCCGGTCTTTTTGAAATCTGATCATTTGGTATACCTATTTATATTCTCTCTCATTATATAGTTCCAGAACGACGCCGAATATGAATTGTATTATTAGATAAAATTCTTTTCACTTACTATTATCTCCTCGATAGATTGACTAAGAAGTCTCTAATTTGTTTTTGTTTTCTTAATTTCATCTTACTCTACGTCTACGAGGATGGTATTTCTCTCAGTCCAAGAT